TATATGTTTAAATAGTGCTTGGGTTTTTTTATAATTTCAACCCCCATTTTGGGTGTTTTAGTGAAACTCCTGCCTCCTCAATCCTTTCGTATTTGTTTTTAGCAAATAATGTTCAAATTCATTCACATAACATATTTTATGAATGTTGTAAACAAATTTGGATCCTTTTATCATGTATGGCAGTCTAAGGGCCCAAGAATGTTCGGAACGATTGGCAATTCATTTTGATTGGGGTGCGCCAAAGCCCAAACTGCAGTGCAATACCTGATCCACATATCAGATATTAAACTTGTGAAGCTATTTTCTGTGTTTTCTTACAAGTTTTTTCATGATTCTAAACCATTGAAGAGAGTGTTTTAACTTCATCCTTGATCCATGCCGGATTTCAAAATCATGGACCGAAAAAAGAAGAAGGTATACATTGTGTTTCGGTAGAAAATTTGTTGGGCAACTTGGCACTGTGAAAGGATGTGTTGTTGGATCCTTGTGTTACTACATGGACCACTCCAAAAGTAAAGGAAACAATACAAAAAGGAAAAAATAAAATAATGACATATAAAAAAAAAAAAAAAAAAAAATGCTTTTTCTGTTGTAAAGTTAGTGGAGACCAAGCTCACATGTTGGAAACAGTGGCGGTTTCAGGATTAAAAAGCCGACCGGGCAAAACTTATATAACAAACTTGACGAAACAAGTGAATTTCATTAATAAACATAAAAAAAATTACATAGTGAGAGGAGACGTAATAAGCCTTACCCTCAAATGCATTTATATCTACAAATACAAAAATAAAATAAAAACCAAAATAAAAAGTAAAATAAAAAAATAGAATTTTTTTTTATTTCACATTAAAAAGAAAGATAATATAGAGGACTACATTAATTTAAAAAAACCATATTTATTTCTAGTGAAATGGGAAGGAAGAAAATTGGCGGTTCTAGGTTTTTTGTTTGTTTTTTTTAAACGAGTTGTGACCTCATTTCTCTCCTTGTTTCCTTTTATAAACGTTTATTATGATATCCGTTTTTAGCTTTCCACCTCGAGCTCCATAGCCCTATCAATCATGTTTCGCAATTTCTGAAATAGTTATCTTTGTGCAAGACAAATTTTTAAAAAAATCATAAGTAATGTAGGTAATATTTTTCTAACAAAAAGAGAGAAGGAAAAGAAAAAAAAGAAGAGAGAGAGGAAGAAAGGAGGAGAGAGAGAGAGAGAGAGAGAGAGAGGAAAGAGAATGGAAAAAAAGAGAGGAGGGATGAGAGAAGGAGAAGAAAGAAAAAAAAAAAGAAGAGGGAGAGAAGAGAGAAGGAAAACAACGGAAAAAGAGAGAGAGAGAGAGGAGAGAAGGAAAAGAATAAAAAAAGAAGAGAGGAGAGTGTAAGGAAAAGAATAAAAAAAGGAGAGAGGAGAGAGGAAAGTGTAAGGAAAAGAATAAAAAAAAGGAGAGAGGAGAGAGGAGAGTGTGAGGAAAAGAATAAAAAAAGATTGGTGATTTCCCCACTCTAATTTTATCTACTTACACTCCATTTTATAACTGAAAAAGGAGTGTAAGTTGATAAAACTAGAGTGGGAAATCATTACCCTAAAAAAAAGGAGAGGAGAGAGATGAGAGTGTATGTAATATTTTTTTTAACAAAAATTAGGGCTGGGCAAAAGAGAAGACAGGAGAGAGAAAAGTGTGGGTAATATTTATTTTACATAAATTTGGGCCGGGCATGAGCCCAGCCTGCCACAGGCTGGAACCGCCCCTGGTTGGAAAGAAGCATCATGATGTCTTCCTGCACACTCACATGTGTCATTTATCTTGCATATAAATAGACATCCTTACGACTTGCAAAGACACACCCAACTGGGAGAAGAAAGAGGGTCAGGCAGAGAGGAAGGAAGAAAGAGAGAGAGTGAGAGGAGAGAGATTCTTCAAGAGAGAAAAATTAGTGAGCCATATATATTGCAAATACTGAAGTTGTAGCCCTATTATTTTACATAGTGGAAAACCCTATTATTTTACATAGTTGAAAAGTTACTGCTGCTGCTCTCCGAGGACGTAGGCATGACCGAACCTCATTAAATATTGTGTCTCATTTATTTTACGTGCAACACAATATTCTCGCATATACAGTTCATTATATAACATTTTCGAGCCTTTAGTTGTTCCAATAAAGCCTCACAAAATGATACCATAAAGAAATTTATCAAATTCATGGTATCATGATACCATGAATTTGCAAATTTACAGTATTCGAGGATGATCTTATTTAGGAAGGATGTGAATTGCCAAGTCATATTTCTTCCCTTCGTTTGCTTTTTCATTGCAATCTTGTTTCAAACATAATCAAGCAGCCAATTTTACGTAATTGTAGAGGAATGAAAGGTTAAAATAAGGAACTCAAGTGACATGAAATAAGTGACGCGACAGTAATATAATTTACGGAAAAAGTGTTTTTTTATGTTCAGAAAATCTGATTATATATATATATATATATGAATCAAACTTCTTAACTAAACATATTTTTGTTCACATATCTTGTTCTTTCAAGATTTTGTTGCAAATTTAATTGACATTGTTTTCAAATTCCTCCATCCGATCGCAATTCCCATTCAAGGTCCAACCAATAAATTTTTTAAATATTAATATATTCTCAACCAACAAACAACCAAATCATGATCCAAATCATATGCGGCTATAAGCAAAATCCACAAATCATAGTATGAGCAATCCAAATTAACCCCGTGATGGAGCCAGCTTTACAGGCTTTGCAACACGACTTTTGATCTGATCCTAGGAAATTGGAATATTGGACTCGGGGAAGCCTCCTGTAGCTCCATTGCTGCACATAATTTCATTTCACTAGGAAGAGTAAACCCTCTTTGGGTACGAACTATGTAGTCTTTGCCGACAAAGTTCATTTGTATTGGGCCATTATTTAGTTCATCACATTGACATGGTGCTTCTGCACTTAAAATCTTTGCTCCCTTGGAACTGTCCACTGGCCTGTTTAATAGGGAAAATATGAACAAATTAAGATCAAGGGTGAAGAGCATTGGAGTGAAACACACCAAATTAAACTTAAGGAAAACACATACAAACATCTATATATGATATTTAATACAAAATATTAAAAACAAAACTGGAGTGAAACTGAAATATTGAGTTTGAGTTGATATAGTGTAATGTTGTGTTAACTGTATCTCCATCCATCCATATGCACATGTTTTTGTTGTTGTTGGCAAGCAGGTATGAAGATGTTTATTAAATCTAAAAATTTATATTAGGTTTTGGGTTGAGTTGCAGAAACGCTCTTTGTACTGAGAATGATAAGCAACCCACGAATTGGAAAGTGCTAAAATATATGGACAATAACAAGTTTAAAAGAGACAAGGAAACAATCCACTTACAGTTGAGTAGACCCGTAGTGTAAAAGAAGGAAAGTGAGAACCAGGTGGAGCTATTTTGAAAATTGCTTGATGGACGAATTTCAACATTTTGCTTTCGAAGTTGTAGCTTAAGATCCCTTCTGAAGTGCCAAAGAAAAATTCATGAGAAGATGGACTTATTGCATGTGGTTTCAACACTCGAGTACCATCACACGGAAAGCGCCATTCCAATCTCTTGCCAAAAAGAGTATATCTGAGATTCCATTTATCACCAGATTCGCATCGATCATCGTAAGACCAAAAGCGAAAAACATTTGAACTATCACGCTTTATATAACAGACAAGTTCCATTGACACCCCAAAACATGCCATTGTTAAATCGTGGTTGTCGTCGTCTTCAGGGACATGAGGGAGTTCAAAGGCTCGAGCTTTGATAGTATTCAGGTCAATACACAAAAGTTTCCCTGAACAAGCTAGGCTGTATATAGCCCGACGCAAGTAGACAAAATGACTGCAAACCTTGGAACTTTTGAACCCCTCAATAAACATGGGGTCGAGTTGCAACCCATGTCGAATCCATTCTCCAGATTGCGACGAAAATATGTCAATGTGCACCAGGGTTGGGGTTAGGGTTGAGTTTGAGGTCAAGGTCGAATAGCAACATGATTGTTGTTGAGAATAATCAATTCGGACAACTCGGTAGTGATTGGATTCAGTAGGGTCAAAAGCCAAGGCAGCACAAAAATGGTCATGTTCATGTGAAAATGCTTTAGGTATGGAGACATGTTGTCTGGTGATGGGGTTGGAGACACAGAACTGATAAGTGTGTGGGTTGAACAACAGAATTAAGCCATTACAACAGTCGAGGTGACGATCAGAGGTGTCGCGCGTCTGATTTGCATAGAAGCCCAATAATCTCATACGGGAAACTAATTTAGTTGGTTTGTGCAAGTAGATATAATTAAGATCTAGATAGCTGTAACTGAGTTTAACACAAATATCATCAGGTGCGTGCAGAGTGCGGAAGAAAAGACCCAAAACAGGAGACTGCGACCAAAATCTCCGCAACCAAACATGAGAGATTATTTGATGCCATGACTTGGCCACCATCTTGCATTTCACCAGATCCTTCTGTGATAATCTAAACAAAATATTGCACAACAAATCATCACATAAAGATAAATTCCCCATACCCGAATCCTGATCCGCAACGGCAGCGGACGAGGACACCACTGACAGGTTACAGAGACGATCAGTAGTCATTCTTGTATATTTAACAAGAAGAAGGGAAATATTTGTGAAACTCAATTTTGATCTTTAGGTTCAGCCACAAGAGAAACCTCAATAAGTTGATTGATATGTAGATCGAAAACTAACTATAAATAGGAAGGCTGGCTGAGTACCAAATCCTTCTCCTATGCGGATTTGACTTTATTTCTTTTTACCTATTTTGATATGTAGAGAAAACTTCTATTATATTCATATTTTCTGTTTTTGGTAGGAAACTCCTATATAATAAGAAAAAAAAATTACTATACTTATTTTAAAGTCCATTTCATATGGGTTTTTTTTATTTTATAATTTAAACTCCTATATTGAATATAATAATGAATATCCTTTATTTTTGCTGTGGAGCAAAAATAGTAGCTGATGTCTTTTATTTTGTTGCTTATTTTGGCTTTCCTCTTCCCACGTGCTCTCTCTCTGGCGTTTTTGTGAACCGTATGCGCCTCAATCCTCATAAAGCATATCGCCATAACCCGAAGAGACATATTTGGGGATAAAAGAAGCTCCGAAGATTGAATAGGTGAAGATAATATCTTCGGAGCTTCGTTTAGCTAATGCTATCTCTTGGGTCAGATTGAGCTCCAGCATTGATTGCCCATCTCTTCTTCTTCAACTCCAAAACGGTGCGTTTCCCGTTTATCCATTCAACTGCTTTTACATTTCATAGCAACAATGCTTTCATGCTTCAAGTCCAATTTTTTAGATTCATTTTCATATGGGTACGTTGTGTTATGGTTTGGGGAAAAGGGAGGGGGGTGGAGGGGTGTTTAACAATATTTGCAGGTAACATAAACTTTTTGAGATGATTAGGTATTGAAGCTTGAAGATAATATAATTTCCTAATTTCGATAAAAATCAAAATTTGGGGGATATACAAGCAATATTGTTGTGCATGTAGCAAAAAGCTCACATCTTTGTGATGAAATTCAAAATTTTGTTCACATTTCAGGTTAAAGAGGCATACATATCGCCCTGGAAGTTGAACAGACTCAGCAGCAGTAGGTTTTAGGTTAAGCTGTTAATAGATGTGCTGAGAGTGATGAGCTTTTATCTTCTATATCATATTTCAGCTTGGGTTTTCCTTGAGACTGTAGTTGAATCAAGGTTTTTTTACATAAGGGGATAAAAATGCAGTCCGGGATACTCCCCAAGGTGAACACTAGTATATGTTCTAGTATTTGGAGAGTACTAAGTGGGAGCGGGCTACGGAATTCAAAAACTTTACTACCTTGTCAGGGAAAATTTTTGTCTCGGAATTCAGGGTTGTCTTGTTCGTTACCATATTCAACCCTTTTGATACCCGACACTGCTAGATATAATTTTAGTCCTTTGCATAAGGGAAAATCTATGGCTGCTTCAAGTTCGACACCTGTTTTTGGGGACGTTTATGTTGATGACTTAATTTCAAGTTGCGGGAACTCATTAGACTTCACAAAACCTACGGCTGTTTTTTTTAATGATAGATGCCAGAGCAGTTTCCTGAAAGCTAGCGTGAGTTTCAGAAAAAAAGAATCGTACAACAGTCATCTGATTTCTGTGCATGTTGGACCTTGGTTGAGGAATTTCCATAACTCATCTTCCGTGTGCTGTGCTGCTGGTGCTGCTCATAATGTATCATTTGATGGCAACTCTAGTGATGAACAGCTTGCAAATTCTACCATTTTGTCCGACCCGTATGTGCTGTTTACTTTGCCTCTTTCGTTGTTTGCTGGTCATTTTCATTATCTTAGGGTCTCCATTGCGTTTTCATTTACTCAGCACTCATAAATTAAGTCTTTTTCGTTTGGAATGGAATTAAGGGTTATCTTCTGTGCACGTGGATGCTAAAATGTTAATTTATTTATATAAAACAGTATGAACTTGGTATCTAGTGTAGAACAAATGGGATTGATTAGTGTTTACAGCTTATAGCACTCTCTAATACCAATATAGGCATTGGTCTCTGCAGTGCTTATATATATTGCTTGGTTTCATTTTCAGACCAATTTTGGGACAAAAAGCTCCGAAACTACTTTCAGGATCATGTTATCTGCCACATCCTGATAAGGAGGAGACAGGAGGAGAGGATGCCCATTTTATTTGTGAAGATGCACAAGCAATTGGTGTAGCAGATGGTGTGGGTGGATGGGCAGATGTTGGCGTCAATGCAGGACACTTTTCTCGCGAACTTATGTCACATTCTGTAAGGGCAATTCAAGAGGAGCCTGAGGGTTGCTTCGACCCAGCCAGGGTGTTAGAGAAGGCCCACTCATGCACCAAAGCAAAGGGTTCTTCAACAGCTTGCATCATTGGCCTTACGGAAAAGGTTTGTTGTTTTCATTTTGACTAACCATTGGTGCTATAATTTACTGTTTGGGATACTTTATCATTTTGACCCTGTAAGGAAAGATGTGATCTGGTTTGTGGAGGCAATCATGTGTGGCTGCATTATACTGCTGTAATAAATTGACAGAAATAATCTTAGTGTCTAGTATCTATCCATTACTATATGCAAACCAGGGTTGGAATTATTTCAAGAAAGGACCCAAGTACTTCCTGTAAATGGACTCTTCCATATGCATAGTAATTGCTGACTTTTGCATTTAGTATGTTGAGTTGCAAGACTTACATATATATAAGTGGAAGTATGTTAAATGCATCGAATATAAGTGATTAATAGAGATTAAAAAATAGGCTGCAGATGCCCTGCCCTTGTGAGTCAAACCTGGATAGGATGCATGATCCAAGTTTCTAGTACATAAATTAGAACAACTTTTCCTGGTCTGTAAGATCACTTGAGTTTGATTGTTGTGTGCAATTTGGATGCTTGTTTTCTTGAGCGTAGAAAGTCAGGAAAGGTTTATATATAGTAAGTATGAGTGTGTTTTCTCATCAGTTTTCTTCTTCTAATAGGGACTACAAGCTATCAATCTTGGGGACAGTGGATTTGTAGTTGTCAGAGATGGAAGCACCGTCTTCCAATCCCCTGTGCAGCAGCATGGCTTCAATTTTACGTATCAGCTGGAAAGTGGCAGTGGGGCTGATCTACCTAGCTCCGGTCAGGTCAGTAAATTATTGAGCATTATACTAGTTGTCACTCGCATATCATCAAAGTAATACATAGATTCCCCCAAATGAACTTGTTTTGACTCTATATATTCTAAAAACACTGCTTCGAATGGCTGTAGTGGAGAACTGGCCGTAAGATCTGATATTATGTTTTCATTTTCTTAAATACACAATTTTGAAATCTTGAGAGCTTAAGGTTTCTTATCCAAATCACACTGCTTCCAATAGATGTGTGTCACTTTCCCTGTCATTGTATGTACATTGAGGGGAGAAAACTTTAATAAAATTCCCTGACCAACTAGCGTCTAATTGGGATTCGATGTGGACCAGGTCTTTTTGATTCCTGTTGTCCCTGGAGATGTCATTATAGCTGGAACCGATGGGTTGTTTGACAACTTGTATAACAACGAGGTTACTGCTGTTGTTGTTCATGCGGTAAGGGCTGGCTTGGAACCACAGGTAACTGCTCAGAAGATAGCAGCTCTGGCACGGCAGCGAGCACTAGATAAGAACAGGCAGACACCATTTTCTACAGCTGCTCAAGAAGCCGGGTTCCGTTATTATGGAGGCAAGCTTGATGACATTACGGTTGTTGTGTCCTATATAACTGGCTCCAGTAATGTGTGAGTGAGTGAGTCTCTCAAATCCGGGTGTAGACAAACCATCTCTTTCCTTTTTGTAAGGTTGCTGGCGGAGCTTAGAAGCTCATCACTCTGTTTTGCCATGAAACCCAGAGGGAGCTGTATTTACATTGGTTTTTTTCTGGTGCTATCTGAGATATTATTTTCATCATCAGTGTCAAACAATACGTGCAATTTCTTCTCTTCTAGTTCTCGACTTGAATCTGAAAAGTTTGAGCTGTATTTCACTTAAAAACGCCACCCTTCCAAAAGTGTGATTCAATCAACGTTAAAACAGGTTGCATTTTCACTTCGTTAAGGAGAGTACTTGAAATACATAGAATTGTGTTTCCTCAGCCTTTAATTCTGTTTTTCCTTGAAAAGGATTGAAATAAGATTCAATATTTTATCTTTCAGTTGCAGATGTCTGTTCTGTCGGCTCAAATATTTCTTATCAACAAATAAATAATTTTCATCCTTTTTTTCCCTCTAATTTGCAGCAAAATTTGTTTTGGACTTGGGTCATAGAAGTTTATTAAATTAAAAGAAAACACGCAGCATAACATATATTATTTTTATTAACAAAACGTGCAGCAATCCAAACTCATTAGACAGAACAGCCGAGCCAACTGGAGAAGATAGATCGATTAAACCCTCAAGACCCTCAAATATCTCTTTC